AGAAAGAAGTTCTCAGTGCATAGTTCTCAATGCCTAACAAAACCTCCAGTGTACATATCTATGATAATAATGATAATCACATAATTATATCATCTGATAATATAAAGCATAGCTACAGCTGCATGAAGAATCATTGGGAAAGTGTTCATATTTTTGCATTATAAAAATGATATAAAATTACAAACGAAGTATTTCGGGGCACCTGGGTGGCCTGGTAGGTTATGTGTCCCACTTTTAATCTCAGCTTAGCTTATGATCTCACAGTTTGTGAGCTCTGTGTCTGGGTCTGTGCTGTCAGCTGTCAGAAACGTGAGGTTCTGTCTCTCCTTCTCTCTGCCCCTCCCCGGCTTGCTCTTTCTCTGTCTCACTCTCTCAAACTAAAGAAATAAACTTAAGAATACAACCCAAACTAGGTTTGGGGAAGCTGATCAATTTCACATGTCTTTTACAATATTAGAACATGAAGAGCTCCACGAATCTGAAAAGGCTTTTATTTCTAAGGAGCAAATATAGTCTCGATTCAAAAAGGAGAGAAGCAAATAGGAGACATTTATTCAAAAGCATCTGCCAGGGTCTTATTATGCTATGCTGAGGTTCCATTTCAGACTTCAGGCTGTGAGCAATTCCATCCATCTTCACAGAGATTAAGCGCTTGCTTGCTCAAGTCAGAATGCCTTGGCTTGGACTCTGCCTCTGTCACTGATAAGCCGCGCAATACAGGACAAATTACTCAATGTCTCTGTGCTTCATTTCCACATTTGTAAAGCGGGGATAATATTAGACTCCATTTCATGGAAATGGAATGAAAAATAAAGAGGCAATAACCAAGACATATTTAGCACAATACCTGTACAAAGTAAGCATGTATAGAACAATTAGCTAATTTGTTCAAAAAGGTGGACCTTGCTTTCTTAGACAAAAGGCAAAGACATTTGTAGGGAATTAAAAAGGTCTTTGTTGTCTTTGTTCTGAAACAAATTACATTCTTGTTTTCATCTTTGCAATTTGATTCTCATCATCTTCCAGATACTTCACACCTATGTGTTTTATTTATTTATTTATTTATTTATTTATTTATTTTTTACAAATAGTTTATTGTCAAGTTGGTTTCCATATAACACCCAGTGCTCATCCCCACAAGTGACCTCCTCCATGCCCATCTCCCCCTTCCCCCCACATCCATCAGTCCTCAGTTTGTTCTCAGCATTCAAGAGTCTCTCATGGTTTGCCTCTCTCCCTTTCCCCCACCATTTTCCCCCTTCTTCTCCCCCACGGTCCTCCGTTAAGTTCCTCCTAATCCTCCTATACGTGCAAACATATGGTATCTGTCCTTCTCTGCCTGACTTATTTCGCTCAGCATAACACCGTCAAGGTCCATCCATGTTGCTACACATGGCCAGATTTCCTTCCTTCTCATTCACACCTATGCTTTCATTCCCAGTCAAAAGAGACAAAGAGTCTTGGAAGCAAATCCAAGTATGAGTGAATCTAATTTAAAATGGACTTTACTTCTTTTCTCAGAACAAAAGGAAGGTCATTCTAAAATATCCACAGATAAGAAAACTGAAAACAAAACACTGACCCAAAAACTACCAATAAGAAAATTAGGACGGCAGGGTCGTTCTCAAGTTAAGGTGATGGCAGGCTGAAGCAGAGGCTCCAAAGGTCCCAATCCGTTCTGCTATTCTCGCAAAATAACTGACTATTTATTGGGTATGTAGCCATCCAGAAGCTTTAGTACATTCTTAGGCTTCCCTGCAATTAAGTATGACAACTTGGCTGGGGTGTGGTGGGTGGGAGGTAAGTACCACACGGCCGCTAATGGGGACCTTGCAGAAGAGAACGCTGGCACACGCCCGCGCCTCTACCTTTTTCATCCCTCCTTCTTCCCTCTGACCAGACTGAGGATGCCGGTTGGATCCTGGGGATAAGAGTGCTTCCAGAGCCATTGCGTGGTTGTGTTGACAGTGCAGGGCACGACTGTACGACCTCCTAGGGAAGGTGGCGCACAAAGCTGGACATAGCTGAGGCCCCTACCAATTAGGAAGCCATAGAACTGGCCCTGGAGAGCAGGTTTCTTGATTTGCTTTACGAGAATAAAACTCTGTATGATTAAGCTGCTCTTAACCTGAGTTTTGTATTATACACACCCAAATCTGAACCTAAGGTAAAGAGTTAGGAATGTCTAGTTGTCTCTTCGTACATCTGTACTGAAATGAAGCAATACGTACAGAATTTAGACAGCTCTGGGACTGGGAATGTGGTCATTGTATACATTACTCTTAGAATGTGTACATTGTCATACAGCCTCCAGAAGCTTGAGTAGCCAAAGTGCAGACAGCAGACATGATTAGGAGGGTAAGTAATAGGTGTTTTTTGTTTTTGTTTTTGTTTTACTTTTTTGGGAGGTTGGTATGGGAAGCATTATCCGTAAAAGGAATAAATAAAACACATGATATTTTCCCCTTTCCTTTACAGTTTCCTGGATTTTCTGAAAATTGTTAATGAGCATGTGCTCATGTGTTCCTACAACAGCAAGAAAAATCAATTTAGATGCACAAATAAAAATGATGCAACACAGGGTAGGTGGGTAGGGGAATGGGCAAAATAGATAAAGGGGATTGAGAGTATATTTATCCTAATGAGCCCTAAGAAATTAATAGAATTGTTGAATCATTATATTGTACAGCTGAAATGAATACAGCATGTAGGATTATACTCCAATAAAAAACAATATAAAACTTTTCATAGTTCACTCATGCTGAGCCTGGAGTGTTTTTGCCTGCCTGATCTCTACCTCTTATCTCTAATGGTCTGAACCTGGCCAGGCTTGAAGTTCATTTAAGTAATTAGCTTTTCAGTATCTTTTTTTTTTTTTTTTCTGGTGGAAGTGACAGCTCTTTCTCTAAATCCCAATATCATTTCCGGCAACATGTAATACACCACTTTTTACATTACACTATTACATCAGTAAACATACTTCCTATCTCTAAGAATATTGCAAGGTTATCTGGAGCATATAGTTCTTCTTTGTCTTTATACTTACCTATTCATCTGTTCATTCATGTGTTCATTTATTCAATTAACAACAGATTATTGGAGATCTCTCTATGATATGCAAGATATTGTACAAGAAACAAGGATATATGAGGAAAAAATACAACATATTCTGTTCACTCAAAAAACGATCTATAACCATGGATAAAAGGAGACAGTGTGGCAAATAGGTAAATTTAATACAATGTGATCATTTCTAGAGGGAAGAACTGTATACAGTGATAAAGTGAATAGAATAAAATATTTAATTTTACTTGAAGAGAGTCAGGAGGCTCTCGCAGAAGTAGTGACTCTTGTATTCATTCTTTATGAAGACTAATAGGCATTTTCAGGCACATGAGTGGATGAACATTGTGGGCAGAGGAGGGCAAAAAAAAAAAAAAAAAACAACCCTACACATGTCCCCAAATAGTGAAAAAAGAATATAAGAAGGAAAGTTCTGTTTTGTGTAGTTAAAAGCACAAGGTGTGAGGGGAGTTTCTCCCCAGTATTGATTGAACAAATGTTTGTTGACTGTTAAAGTCATAGATACTATGCAGCAGGCAGAAGTAGTGACTCTTGTATTCATTCTTTATGAAGACTAATAGGCATTTTCAGGCACATGAGTGGATGAACATTGTGGGCAGAGAAGAGAAAAAAAAAAAAAAAAAAAAACAACCCTACACATGTCCCCAAATAGTGAAAAAAGAATATAAGAAGGAAAGTTCTGTTTTGTGTAGTTAAAAGCACAAGGTGTGAGGGGAGTTTCTCCCCAGTATTGATTGAACAAATGTTTGTTGACTGTTAAAGTCATAGATACTATGCAGCAGGCATTTTGACCCTTACACTGCTTGGCCTCAGTGTATCTTGTAGATTGTTAGGGGACTGAAAGCCTGCTAATTTACAGAATTTCAATGCACTGCCTCAGTTTCTTCATTTTCTTAGGCTAGGAGGCTGAACTAATGCTTTAAATGACAAATAATGTGACTTTTAAAAGGGATGTTATTGGTAAATGTTTAGGTCACTGCTATTTCCTTAGGCTGTTTGAAAAGCTTGACTGAATCCAGTAAAAGTGGTTACCACAATGGTATATTCTCATCTTACCTAAGGAACAAGTCACCAAAAATGTGTTTCCTTAGCATAAAATTATTTATTCCACCAACCAATTTGAAATAAGTGAACACTATATTAAATGATCATGAGAGGGGAGGTTATAGGCTCAACTGAGAAGGATGAAATTGAATACTGTAACTATTTATTGATCACAGTCAATAGCACACTCTTTTCTTTCCTTGGAAAATACAAAGAAAAATTAATCCATCATATTGTTAGATCTGTTGACAAAGATGTATAGATTAGGATAAAAACATATTTCTAAAGGCTTTTTGCAAATTTTAAAGCACGATAATAGCATTATTGGTTTTTCAAGAATGTAGCTTGAGAAATCACTTCCACCAAAGAAGGAAATTACATGCCAAATGGTACCTAGCACTATTTTTTTCTACTTTCAGGAATTTTCTAACTTCTATATTCAAGCAGTTTTTAAAATAAATGCCAAGCATTTGTACTAGAATTTTATGTATGTATGTATGTATGTATGTATGTATGTATGTATGTATGTTTATTTTTGAGAGACAGAGCACAAGCATGAGAGGGGCAGACAGAGATGGAGTCACAGACTTGGGAGCAGAGTGCAGCTTCCAAGCTATCATCACAGACCCTGATGCGGGGCTCGAACTAACAAACCTCAAGATCATGACCTGAGCTGAAGTCAGACGCTCAACCAACTGAGCCACCCAGGCGCTCCTGTTGTTTTTTTTTAAGGAAGAGGTACTACTGTGTTTTCTGAAACTTTGTTTAGATCTGTTGCATTCCAAGCAAGCTCCATTGAATAAGGGACAAGGAGCAAAATTGGCATCAACACACAGATTAGGGTCTAAAAAGAAAAGACGTTCATTTCATACCTTCAATAGGTTTTGGTACAAAATGTGATGAGGGCTTGGTTTTCTTCACTCTGTTTCCCTTCATAATTTGACCTTCTTTATTGAGTCCCAGAAACCATGCTCGGCCTGATTCTTGCTGACGATACAGTGTGGAAGAATAAATCACATAGTAGTTTTCAAATACAGATTCCTTAAATTTGCATTCTGGAGTGAAAACATCCTGCAGAAGAAAAGAGGATACAAAAGAAAGAACAGATTTAAAATGTTAACGAACAAATGCTTAAATGCAATGAACCTGAAATATAGGTTTTGCTGTTAAGAAAAATTAAAGGCAACTGCATGTAATTTTTGGTAGCAATTGGTTACAAAGATTCATCATACAAAATCAAGAGGCAAGATTTCCTCTATTTTTTAATATTTTTTAAAAAAGCTTATTTATTTTGCGAGAGAGGATTCCAAGCAGGTCCCACACTGTCAGTACAGAGCCCGATGTGGGGCTCAATCTCACAACCATGAGATCATTATCTGAGCTTAAATCAAGAGTTAGACACTTAACCAACCAAGCCACCTGGGCACCCCAAAATTTCCTTTCTAAACAAACTTTCCTTCACAGAACACAACTATTCAAGTTGGAATCACTCATTGGGCTAACATCATTCAAGGCTGTGCCCAGAACTGGTCCTAGCAAAATGTTTTGTAAATTTAAGACACTGAGCACTGCACATTTTAGTGATGCATATCATATAAAATGTATCTCTGGGAATCAAAATCAAACACAACCTCAGCACACACAGTCTCATAAATGTTTTAGAAGGACTACCTTATACGTAGCCAAAGGTACTATGCAATCAAAGCTTGTTGCATAAAATCACCAGTATACCACCTCTTTGCTTAATGTCAGTAACTTTCCCATTCATTTCTTTGTAACATTTTTTAAATCAAGATGGAACCTTAAAAATCTTCTATTTCAACCTCATCATTGGTAAGTGATATAACCAAAAGGTTATATGATTAATTCAGAGTTACACCAAAAAAATAAATTACTGCACCAATGCCAGAACTCTCACTGCGTTTTAGAATCACTGCCTCTCAAAATCACCTTTTCTGCCTGAGTCTTGTTTAGCGACTCACAATGAGATTTTATAATCAATACAATAAAATCAAATCCTAACCTGTCAAATGGACAAAATATATTTCATGGAGAGAAGAAATTCCTCCCCTTCTAATATAAGCAGAAGAAAACCAATTGTGATAGCATCTTGTTCACCTATAGGTAAATACGTATTCTGCAGGCAAAACACATTCACAATGGTCACGGCTGCCTTTGTGATGTGCGAGAAGAATCTCTTCCTTGTAGCCCTTTAAGTGTAAGACCCCAGTAGTTTTGTAGAGTTACACCTGCAGTTAAGTGACTGAGGAACATGTGGGACTAAAGCTGGGTGAAACCATGTCCTTCTAGGTGATACTCATAGACTAGACCCCTGGCTTCATTTGGTGACATGTCAATGGGTGCTGGTGAAGGCCTTCAGTGACAAAAAAGAAAATGCTTAAGAGGCTTTCTTAATTTCAAATAGTTCTAAAACTACAGAGTAAAAAGTGAGACTAAAAAGACGGGAAGGGAAATGGAAAGGTGGTTGTAAACATTACACATGTGATTATATATCATATAGATAGATAATATAGATAATATATGTTACTGATATATATTGATACTATTTGCATGCATATCTCTCTGTACTATATTGATAATAACACTAAAATGCCATAGGACACTCTCAATTTTAAGTAAACCTAGTGGCTTGAGAGTCAGAGAAATGAAAGACTATGCAAGACCACTTCACATCTGCTATGATGGCTGTAATAAAAAAGATGGATCCTAAAAAGTACTGGTTAGGATGTGAAGAAACTACCACCCCCATTTATTGCTGGTGGGAATATAAACAATGTACCAGCTGTGAAAACCAGTTTGGCAGTTCTGGGGAAAAGTTAAGCATGCAATCACCAGATGATCCTGCCATTCTACTTCGAGGTATATATCTAGGAGAAACGGAACTCATGTCTACACAGAAACTGCTACACAGATGATCACAGCAGCATTATGCATACTGTGGAAGCAGTTCGAACATCTATCAATGAATGAATGGATAAACAGGATGTGGTACATCCATACAATGGAATATTATTCAGCCACAGAAAAGAGTGGAGTCCTGATTCCCGTGAACATGGATGAACCTCAAAAATATTATGCTAAGTGAAAGAAGCCAGGCAAAATAGGCCGTATGTTGTATGATTCTATTTATATGAAACACCTAGAATAGGCAAATACAGAGAAAAAAATAATAGATTAGTGGTTGCCACGAGCTGGGGGTAGGGTAAATTAGATGAGAGAATTTTTTGTTGTTGTTATTGTTTTTCTTTTTTTTTTTTTTTTAATTGGAGAGATGAAAGTATCCTGAGATTGGATTAGATAGTAGTGATGGCTGCCAATTTGAGACTAGCCTTCATACAACCTCTTAAAACCCACTTCCATCAAAGATCATTACTACATTGTCTTTTATACATGGGAAAATTAACAGTTTGATTTAGTAAATGATGAACTCTGAGGTTTCTGTTTGGTTTCACAATTGTCTGCTCTTGAAACAGCAAAAGTCCAGGATATTGGGCAGAAACATGAGCCAGGAATAGCATTAGGCAGGGACTGGGCCTTGAATATCTGAGCTGCTGAAAGGGGATCCTAGCACAGCATCCAGGCCCTAATTAGAAATGAAAAATTGGGGGGCCTGTCTGGCTCAGCTGGTTAAGCATCCAACTTCAGCTCAGGTCATGACCTCACAGTTCAAGAGTTCGAGTCCCATGTCAGGCTCTGTGTTGACAGCTCAGAGCCTGGAGCCTGCTTCAGATTCTGTGTGTGTGTGTCTCTCTGCCCCTACCCCTCTCGTTTTCTCTCTCTCTCTCTCTCTCAAAAATAAATAAACATTAAAAAAACGAAATGAAAAGTCAAGTGGGGTATCCCATTTAACATTATTCTAAGGGGTCTATGCAATGTCAGAATTCAGAAATGCTTCTGAAGTCACTAATACCTGGCCAGAGCAAAACATTTCAGGTGGAAAAATTGTCAGAAGCTTAGTGATGGCACTTCTAGAAACGCTGAGGGAAACCTTAAGAACATTGAGCAAACCTGGACAATCATTCTAAGTGCAACCTTTGCACTATTTATATAATTTCAATATAAAACGAAGTTGCACATTAAAGAGTTTACCATATAGTTGCTATTATCACTCTTTTAGTTTTTTTTAAGTTTATTTATTTTGAAAGAGTGAGAGACAGAGAGTGTGAGACTGATAGGGGCAGAGAGAGAATAATACTGTTGTAGGTGAACCTCAAGCACGGTTAAATACTAACATGCCATTTCTGCTTCTGTAAATACGCTTAGCAAGCTTGTACTTCCCTGTTCTGGCTGACCACACCCACACCCTGTACGCAAGGTTACAGAACACCACGTCACCATTGTACCCTGGTGGTCTGTCACGTAGTCACTACCCCACGGCTTCTCAAATGTCTAATTATGGTTGGTCATTTCAAGACAAAGAACTTAAAGTTGATAGGTCTCTGCCAAAACTAACACCTGAGCGTCACAAGGCAATCGGTTACCATGATGTGCTATAAAATGTAACTGGTTAACTAAATAATGATGAATCCTGCCTTGGTGGTATCCATAGAAGCTCACCGCCACCTTTGTTCAGGGCCATTCTCTGCATTTCTCCATGAGATCAGGTTTGGCCCGGCCGTAGATAAAATCTTGCCTCGCTTCTATTCGGCGTTTAGTGGTCTTTCCGACAATCACCCTGCTTCAAATACCAAGTAGGCTCCACACTGTCAGCGCAGAGCCTGATACAGGGCCCCATCCCACAAACCGTGAGATCATGATCTGAGCGGAAATCAGGAGTCAGACACTTAACCTACCCAGCCACCCAGGTGTCCCAATTGTGTAAGGAGAAATGAAATGTCCCATGACTTACAATAAGAAAATCAAGAGTTTTGCTTCTGGATCCACATCTGTTAGATGTGGGACTTTAGGTAAGTGATTAATCTTCTTTGAATTTTACATATGCAACTATAAATTATTTTAGAGAACGTACGATGGACATGGAAGCATGTTGTTAACTTTTAGAATTTGCAAAAACCCCAATTCATTATTCTTCTTAAGATTTTATTTACAGCAAGAAAACTACAATCAATCATGTAACTAGACACTTAGTTCTGTGTTTTTGTCATAGAAGTTTATATCTGCTCCAGCATCCAGGACCCTATGCTATAAGTTAAGCTTTATTCTACATAGATTACTCCCACTATAGCTAAAACAAATTACACACACATACTTGTTTTAAAAAAAATTGTCTAGGGGCACCTGGGTGGCTCAGTTTTTTAAGTGTCTAATGTTGGCTCAGGTCACGATCTCAAAGTTTGTGAGTTCGAGCCTTGCATCAGACTCTCTGCTGTTAGCACAGAGCCTGGTTTGGAGCCTCTGCCCCTCTCTGTCTGCCCCTCTCCCACTTGCTGTCTCTTTCTCTCTAAACAAACAAACTTTAAAGAAAATTAGCTAAAACTTTCGGCAAACACTTGGGCAGTCACAGACATTCAGAAGACGATCTGAGGTTTAAAAAAAAATGTGTTCACAATGACAATACATCTAATGTGTAGGGGAGACAAACAGACTTTGGAGCCAAAGGTGATAAAATCCTGGACTACCTTAATCCAATGCATCTAATGAAAGCAGAGTAGTTAACAAGTATAATAAGGAGGATTTTCCCATCTTTGAAAGACTAAATGGTGGTCATATTGCATTTATATCCATTATCCCAAGCAATTAGTTCAATGTAGGTACATAGTAAAGCTTGTAGAAATATTTGTTGATGAGATAGAAACATCTCCACATGTGCATCATGTATATAGATACGTGAGATGCTGTTTATTTTTTGCATTTATTATCTAGAACCTTTCCAAATCCTAAAAAAAAAAATAAGTTAAAAAAATATTTCCAAATCATAAGTTTGTTCAACTTCAGCTGACCTGAATTTCAGTGGAATATTAATATGACCTCTGCTAGGTTTCCGAAATTACTTTTGATCACTCACTCGTTTAGCAGAATTTGCAACTAAAAACAACTGATGTTTTTGTTCTCACATTGTACAAGCCATCATGCAACCAGTTCTATTTCAC